CCGCTTGCCGCGACAGCCACCCTGCCGCCTGCTGCAGCCCTGCCCTGGCCAGCGGTACCCGGCGCTTGGCAAAGCCAGCCCGCCTGCGCTTTTCACCTACGGGAATGCATTTTATCTTTATTTTGTATGCCGTGATAGCCGCTAAGTCTCTGGACAAGTAATAGCCGACTCAAGGATTTTGAATGCTTTACTGTTTTTTACGTTATTACTGTATTTTGGCCACCAAAACGCTAGTCTTTGGGCAGGAGCCGCGAAGGGCCAGGCCAGCACCGGCCGTGCAGCTCTGCCCCGGGAACTTCCAAGCAGCCGCTTATCAGGGCTGCGACGTGTTGTTCGTAGAGCAGGGAGGGACGTAAGACGAGGCTTGAAATTCCTTGGTGCTGCCCGCTTGTATTTTTTCCTAGATGTTTTCCATTAGTTCATTCATATTTATAATCACCAATATTGTATGCAATAAACGTGTAATTGAAACAGGTTAAATAATATATGTTGACATAAATTATTTAAAGCTGGTGCATGTAGTTATCTGATATACTTATTTAGTTATTTAGCCTGAGTGATGTAAAAACTCCCGGAATTAAGTTACTCTGTTGTGGTTGGATGTGCATCAGCTTTGTGTCCGCTGCCTCCGCAGCTCCGTGGACCGATGGGCGTTCGTTTGGCACCAGACAGGGTCAATTGCGTCGGCTGTTTTTAAAAGCCGGCTGTAACCTTCAGTTACTGTAAGAGTTTGGGATGTGCCTTGGTTCCCTGGGGGTGTTCTAGAATGCCTTCGGTGGGAAGGGAACTGTCAAACAGACTTAGTTTCCGCTGGAAACGTTGTGTGCGGAGGTGATCCAGTACTGCTTCTCCCTCTTTCTTTTTTTCCCTCCCCCTAATCTGAAGACAGCTAGATTTGGGGGAGTTGTTTTTTAAGCTGGAATACATCTTCTGAATCAGCTAGAGGGGGAAAAAAATCTGTCAAATATCAGAATAAGTTTAGGTCATAAATTATTGCATGTTTGAAAACAATTGCATTAGCTTTCTCAAATTTTAGAGCTGTAAACATCCTTTAAACTATTTTTTTCAAGTGTGGGGGCTGCTGTTTGCATAACGCACTCTTCTCATGCCTTGATTTTGTAATCTTTACAGAGGTAAGCTCTGAATGGTAGCAGCTGTTTTTAATGATGCAGATCTCTTCTATATGTTGCACTGGTAAAGGCATACTGATACTTCTTTGATATTTAATGTCTTAACTTATAAATTAGGTTTACTCTCAAAATCAATATTGAAGATGTGTCTCCAACGCTCACTAAAGAAACCAGCTTTTGATGGAGGCTTTCTAGAGCGGCCCAAGATGTGGGGAAGAACTGGTCATTAATGAAATAAACCACTCATCTTACGCAAGCGTCCTCTTTTCCTGTAGAACAAAAGCAGTATAGTGCTCTGTGTAGTCACATCGTGTTTCTGTGACTTTATATGGTAACTGTTCATAAAAATGAACAGGTCATGCCATTTAGAAGTTACAAAATTATGAACTGTTTACCTTACAGGAAAGAAATTGTATTTATATGGTTGCCAGATGATGTATACAATGGAGAATAGAAATAATTACTTTTAAAAAACAGTTATCAGAAAACTTGCAGAGTAGACCACGTGGACCTTTTAACATTACGCCAAAGTTACTTGGCTTGGTGAACTCCTAGGAAAACATGAACTGTTATCTCATGCATTGAAGCTGCTGAAGATAGGGTATAGATATTCTTCCTTTCTGTCAGCTTTTTTCCCCAACTTCATTATTGATGGCTTATTGATGTATTTGCTCAAGTGAAAGCAAGCGGTCTGTTTGTTCTCCTTTCAGGCTTTCAGTGGGAAAGAATTCTGGAGATATAGAGTGGGAACCTCTTTTTTTTTTTTTTTTTTTTAAATGCAAAAGTTGCTTGCTGTCATCTCCTCTGAGGAGAACCAAAGGGAAATGGGAGTGGCAGTTGCACTTGACTGCATTTGAGGATGATGGTCTTGCACTGTTCTTCATCCAAAATATATTCACAGCTAAGAGCTATTGTATTCTACATGAGTATTGTATTAGCTAGAGTCCGTTAGCCATTAGGATCTAGCTTGAATGTGGAGAAGGTTGAGTTGGGTGCCTTACGCCCAGGCTTCAGGCGGTGACGGCCGGGATCGCTGAGGCTGAGCGCTGTCTGGCAGAGCAGCACGCAGCCAGGTTAGGCTGGACTGGCGTTGGCGGAGGAGGGCAGGGCTGGGCAGCAGCCTTTGGCAGAAAGATCAAAATGAAGAGTGGGAGGAAGGTGGCGTCTGTCCTGAGGGGCAGGAGGAACCCCTGAGCTGTGTGGGAGCGAGTGACTGCATGTAGGGGGCTAGCCTGAATGCTTTTTGCAGCCCTCTGATGCCGCTTGGTTTATATAGGCATCGTTAATATGGACGGAGTCTAGTGCTGATAGTACTTCTGTTCTTTGCGAAGTTACCGCTTAAGCCAGTTCAGCTAGGCATTTTAGGGTACATTTTAACGTATATTTATTTTGCAAAGAAGTTACTGATTTGTACTGAGTAGGAGAATTGAATAAATTTGAACGTAATCCTTTATTTGGAATAAACTTCTGCTAGACTCATACAGGAAAACTGTATTGGTTCACTTTTATACCTCGACAGCTACTTGTGATAGTTTTTTAGAAAAACCACAATGATTTGCATGTGCAGATGTTAAAATGTATGACTGCTATTAACATTTTTTTAATTGTGACTAAGGCTCATGCGTGAAGCAGATCTAATTGATGAAGGTTTGTGGTGAAATACATGGATGCCTGAAGCACTTGGGAGACTCTTAGCTGATAATTCACACCCAATTTCTACTTGAATCTTCACTGCATGAATACGGAATCTTTTTATTTCCACAGGATCCAAACAGCAGTAACCTCAGCTATGGAGAACGCAGATAATGCAGAGGAGGAGAAGCCGACTGTAAGCAATGACAGCACAGACAATGGCGCTGAAACAGCAACAGAAGAACAGCATATGGACTTCAGTACAGAAATTATGAGTGTAACTGAGATGGAACAATCACCTGACAGTTCCCCTGACTTGAATGAAGAGAACACACAGGAGAGTGAAATTCCAAATATTGAAAGTTTACAGACAACAGATATTGAGGCTTGCTTCCCTCCAGATTTTGACAAGTTCTGGAAAGTAGTAGAGGACAATCCCCAGGATTTCACAGGATGGGTATATCTACTACAGTATGTAGAGCAGGAGGTTAGTACGTGGCCCCTTTTCCCTTAGCCTTCCAGAAATAAACAAAGAAAACCAAAACAGGTCATGGATATTCCAGTGACTAGAACTGCACATCAGGCTTTCATACATACTGTTTTAAGACAGTTGCCCTTGCCAGTGTTGTCAGCAGAGATCACAAAATAAAAAAAATCGGTTTTAAGACAATGTTAAAAAAATAGTTGTTTTTAAAATAACGTGAAGCTTTTTTTTAAGGAAAGGATTCATTGCTTTTTTTGTGTATTTCTTGCAGAACCACTTACCAGCTGCCAGGAAAGCATTTGACAGGTTTTTCACGCATTATCCATATTGCTATGGATATTGGAAAAAGTATGCAGATCTTGAAAAGCGACATGACAACGTTAAACAGTCTGATGAGGTATGTAGGTAGCTGGGCGCAGCTATTGCCATTGGTCCTGTTAGCCAAATAATGACTAACCTACCGCAAGTCATTTGGCTGCCAGTACCTGCCATGTATGGTCAGGTTTGTAGGGATTTTGTTTGCACTTGTCACGTCTGTGGCATTTGTAGCTAATGTTTTTTCTCTTTGTTGGCAGGTGCGTTAAACCTCTACAGTTTGTCAAGCTTTGCAGTGCAAGCCTCTGTATTACACTGCAGCTTAACAAGTAGGGCAGGGCTTTTCTGTCACTTACATTTATTACTCATTTTCAAAACAATATAGTTGGTTTGCTGGTCACAATTGCTACATCTTATTGCATTTTTGGTCAGACGCTGTCAATGATGCTCTAATGGGTCTGTGCCCTATGGTCTGTACCCCAAAGCCTGCCCACACAACCTGGTCAGAATGCAGGGACCGCTGCGCTTTGAAGATCAAGACTCTGCACGTGGAGATCAGAACATTGCCATGTTCTATCCAACCTCCACCCAAATGGTAATGGTAGATTATTTAAACAAAATTCCAGTAATTAGTATTTCTAAGGTTCACCGGATAACACAGTGTTGCCTCTCTATTAGGACGCCATTAAGTATTTGAAGTACAGTTCATGTTCTCTTCATAGGTTTATCGCAGAGGGCTTCAGGCAATTCCTCTTAGTGTTGATCTTTGGATACATTATATAAACTTCTTAAAGGAGACCTTGGACCCTGCCGATCCTGAAACTAACAGTACTATTCGAGGGTAAGTTCAAAGCAGACTAAGTGATACGAGAAGCCCATACATACAGTTACATAGCAGTGTAATCAGATTAATGTGTTTAAGCTAAGGGGCAAGCTAGTAACAGCCTGCGGTTACTTTAAGGATTTTTAAGAGGTGATGGAGCCAAATTCCATAAGAAGGGGTAGACAGTACAAGGGTTATACGAGGGTCAAAAGTTGTGACTTGACAGCTTCAGACAAAATGTTAGGAAATACTTAGTGCAGCACTGGAACAGGTTCCCCATAGAATTTTTGGAATTTAATTCCTTGGAGGTTTTCAGGGTATAGCTAGAATGTGTTTGGCCTCATCTGTTGCTGGCAGTGGTCCAGTTAGAGTAAGAGGTTGGGCTAAAGTTTGACGCAAAAACTTAATTGAACTTTAACTGAAGCAGCTTCTAGCTACATGATTGATGTATAGCTTTTGTGTGTTAAACTGCTAAAGTAATGGCTTTAGAATCTTTACAAGATACAAGTGGTAAAGATTTTGTATTTTCTTAGTATCTTGCCTGTCTGCAAGTGGCTTTTTCTGTTGCCTTTATTTGTTCTGTTGTGGTAGTGCTGGAGGAAAAAAAAGTGAGCGTGAACTTTCTGAAATTGTAGAGATCTTGCTACAGATTTCTAGAAAACACTTTGAAGAATCTAAATAATATAAGCGTGGTTGTGAGTAAATGAGGATGCTCATAATCTTTAAATAAACAAGAGCCAGAACTTTTCTTCCTTTTTCTGTCACCGCATCCAGAAACAACTGTAAAATTATCTCATTTTTCAGAGCCTATGAACATGCAGTCTTAGCTGCTGGCACAGATTTCCGTTCTGACAGACTATGGGAAATGTATATAAACTGGGAAAACGAACAGGGAAACCTAAGGGAAGTTACGTCCATATATGACCGCATCCTTGGAATTCCAACACAACTCTACAGTCATCATTTCCAGAGGTAAAGTGAAAGCAAAGGTTTAGTTAATGCTATGAGTTTCTTAAGCACATGCTAACCTACTTCTGTAAATGTGAAAATGTTCACCCAGAACAAGAGCTTGAAATAGTTACTGAGTTTTATATACTTATTTACTTACTTATGTACTCATACGGTTTGACTGATTGTTTTAAAGTACTGGTACACATTTTAGGAATTAGGTTTTAGATAAATTCACAAATTCTGCTGTGGAATAAAGGCCAGCCTTGGAATTGTGAGGAGGAAGAGAGCGTGCCTTTGAAAAATCAGAATGAGCAGTTTTGAACTTTAATTCTTCATGCAGTGCTCATGTGTGGTGAAACACTAATTTAATTGGCTAAAGAGAAATACTTGGTTAAGTTTAGATAGTAGAATTCTGCATTAATATGGATAGGCTAAGAGGGAACCAGAAACCTTAGTGAAATTATGCACCAGTCTTCCCTATAATTTCTGCAGATCTTTCGGTTTTGGAAGTAAAGTAACTTCCTCTAAAACTGATCTTGTCCTTTGACATCAATTTTACATGGCAAGTGGTCTGTCTTTGCCACTGAAGGTCATCATCCTTTCATTTCTCTTTGAAATGCGAAGCTTTTTAAGTCTGATAGGTAGTAGAAGTTGCATTTTGTCTGTAAGCTGCCAGAAGTTGCATTCTCAGTGTTGCTCTAGATCGATAAAGTAATGCAGAACCCCACTAGGATTTATTATTGTGCTCTGGTTATGCAGAGTATTGCAACATAAAACATCGAATTTGTGTTGACTTGTTTCTAACTATTCTTAGGTTTAAAGAACATATACAGAACAACTTGCCTCGAGACCTTCTGACTACTGAGCAGTTTGTTCAGCTGCGCAGGGAACTAGCATCTGTGAACGGCCACAGTGGGGAGGATGCGCAACCCGGAGACGACCTGCCCTCTGGTACTGAAGATATAACTGACCCTGCCAAGGTACATACGCAGAGGGTGTTTGTTGGCGTTTCTTGCCTTGCTCTGGGGCTGAAAGACGAGTTTATTTGCAGACAAGTTAGTGTATCTGTAGCTGAGGTGTTCCCATAGTTCTCTTGCATATCATTGCTCTTTGCCTCATGTGGTAACTGCTTTTGTCTACAGGACATACCTCTCCAGTGTTTTCATAGGTATTAAAGAAATGGAGTTAAAAAATTGAAGAAGTGATGTACAGAACTCTAGGAATGAATATTAATTATTCCAGTTAACAGGTTAGGAACTGTAGTCCAAGAAAGCTCTTCATCAGCAATGGTCTGTGCAGGTTCATAGCCTTCAAAGGCATACGAAAACTTGGAGCCATCCAAGGGAATTGCTAACTGTGAAAATGTGCACGTACTGAAACCAAGTTTGACCTGGATCCAAATTAATCTTTAATCTCAATCATCTTTAACATAAGAGCAAAACTTCAGGTAGAAGACCAATTCAGCTGGGTTGCACTAAGGGCCAAGGCACCATCAGGGCAGCATCCCATCCCTTCCCCTGGCTGTTCAGGGTAACATTTAATGCATCTGTGATACTGTTGATTTATGCATATTACTGTCATCATAAAATGCATTTACAAAGGTGATGCGGTGTCTATCTGTGTTACATTTTTTTAAATTACGTTTTAGCTAATCACTGAGATAGAAAACATGAGGCACAGAATCATTGAGATTCATCAGGAAATGTTTAACCACAATGAACATGAAGTCAGTAAGAGGTGGACGTTTGAAGAAGCGGTAAGTTTGTTTTTTCTATGTAAGACAGCATGCACAAGAGTTTTGAACATAAGACTGGGAGCTAGGGATTTTGAGTAACAGTTAGGCCTTCCTTAAAATTTAAACTGTTGTGGGACTTTGAACAAAGATACGTTTCACTTCTCTGCCATTTTTCTTGTGAAAAGGCAACTTTTGAGGTCAACTCTGTCATCTGACGATTTAAAAATCTTTAAGCAGTATTTGGAGAGGGGCAAGATGGTGTATTGTTTACTAAGTCTTTAAATATACATGCATGAAATGCTATGTAAGTTAGTACTGCCTTATGCATGTGAGGCAAAATAATAAGGGAACGAAGGTAATTCTGATTGAAAAGGTAAGCCTATCCTAAAAGGAGAATGAAATTTGTATGGTTTTTTATTTTAACATTACACTCTTAAACCTGAAATAGTTAACTTTTGTTTTCCAAAAGTAGCCATCATAACATTCAGGTCCTATGTATAATATATTAAAAGTAATTAATTAAACTAATCATTTGATCACTGCAAGTATACCACTACTTCTGTGTAGCATTAAGTTTGGTTACTTTTGAAAAAACGACCTGAGTCTTTAATTCTCAGTCTTTTTTTTTTTTTAAATTTTTTTCTTCCTGGCAAATACCATGTTGCATAACATGGTTCTTGTTTTAAATTTACTTTCTTTTTGTAAAGTACATTGTATCAAAGTTGGGACAGATCTTCAGAGACTCTTTAATGGGTTACATGATGTCAGAACTGTTATGTTGCTTATTGCACTTTGTTAGACTAGGCCAGATACCTTGTAAGCCTAAGGAACTCGAAAACATAGCACATAGCCAGTCCTAGCACCGTAGACTAGAACAGGGTCTAACTCGGGTGGGTTACCCTTTCTGAAATGCTGGTACCAGTCCTACACCTTGCAGGGTCACTTTTGTACCAGTTAACCTGTCGCAGAAGAAAAGAGAGCATACAAAGCATGTCACTAGAGTAGGTGAAGCTCAATTATGCTGATGTATTGTGGAAAACAGTTACGTGAGTATAGGTATTCTTGGCGCAGGAAACCTTAAGCTACAAATTATTGAAACTTGGGAGAATGCTAGAAGGGTGGGCATGCTGCAGAAAATGTGTAAGAAGCAGGCTGTCCTCTCTTGTTCCTGGCCAGAATCAATACTTTTTCTACCAAGAGAGTATATCTGCTCCGTAGATAACCAACATGTTGGATCTATGAGGAGTTTGAAATATAAAGTTAAACACGTCTTTATAACGGACAGAAATGAGGTGGATAGGCAACAGATGTCACGTAAGTGAAGGAGACCACTTAGACCTGTTTTACTGTTATTTTAGCCGGAACAATGTACTTTGAATTTGTCAAAATGGAAAAAGAGTATTGGGTTCCATAGTAGAGTTCAGTGAGGAACATGAAGGGAGTGATTGGCTTTAAATTTCAGGTGTCCTTGAAGAGTCAAATGTTATTCCTTAAGCACTGTAAGTTCTTTATCCATTTGTATGTATTTGTATCTGAGATGGAATTGCAGTACAGGAGAGAAATAATCGGGTAAAATTAAAGATGAAGGAGAGAAAAAGCAAAAGATCTCTGGAAGGATGCTTTGCTACGTTTGGCTCAAAGCAATGTTTAAATTTTCCATGCTGAACTCTGTTCCATCCAGCTCCTCCTGTAGTCGTCAATAAAAATGCAATCTTGCTAGCTCTTCGAATAATCAGCTTAATCAAAATACTTAATACGAAGTTCAGTTCAGTGCTCTGTCTTTCCTTTTCATGATTCTCAACCAAACTTTGAATTTAATTTGTAGGATATGCGCTAGTACAACAGTAAGTACTTCAGTTGTGTGTATGTATGTGGACTATATTCATTGTTATTTATAATGTCATTGTTACGTTGTGACTGCAGGTTTGCAAAGGAGTAATTGCATTGAATTCTTTCTCAGCTTCTGTAAACACTTGCACTTGAAAAAGCTTTCTAGAAAAACAAGTTACTAGCCTAGAATGTAATTGTCAGCAAAATCTCTTGATCAATACTTCGGTAACGGCAGCAGACTTATTTGAATAGATAATGACATAATCATTCTGAAGTCCTGTTTATTTAGATGGCATTATTTGAATGGTGTGTGGCTGTTTATTTTTTTCTAAGCAACTTGGTGGTATGCTTATTAGTCACAAGTTGCCATACTGTGACTTTTGCAGATAAAGAGGCCTTACTTTCATGTCAAACCTCTGGAGAAAATTCAGCTGAAAAACTGGAAAGAGTACTTAGAATTTGAGATAGAAAATGGCACTCATGAACGAGTTGTGGTCCTCTTTGAAAGATGTGTTATTTCATGTGCCCTCTATGAGGACTTCTGGATTAAGGTAAGGGAAGTGGTTTACCACTTATCTCCTACTGATTGCATACATTGATCTAGTGACTAACCTTTTGTACTCTTGTGGAATGTTGTTCATATATATCTGTTGCATTAGGAGATGGTCTGCTTGCAACCAGATTTGACTGCTGCATATGCCAACTTCGTTGCCTCTCTACGTCCTTCCTTACAGAAACTAGTCTAGTGGTTCAATAAAGGTGCTGAATGGGTTTAAACAAAAGAATTTTATCGTTCTGTCATGTTTTTAAAGACAAATACAAGCTTTAAATTTTTGCATCTCTGCTCTGTTTTCAACTATAGTATGCCAAATACATGGAGAATCATAGTATTGAAGGAGTGAGGCATGTCTACAGCAGGGCTTGCACAATACATCTTCCTAAGAAACCAATGGTTCACATGCTGTGGGCTGCCTTTGAGGAGCAGCAGGGTAAGAGCAACGTTAGTTCTTGCTGGGAGGGATTCTGTTTTTAAGAGGCTGTTGGATGTCTCATATCTTAAAGCATCTTCACCGGTGTTTTAGGCAACATCGATGAAGCAAGAAGAATCTTGAAAACATTTGAAGAGTGTATTCTAGGGCTAGCAATGATTCGCTTACGAAGAGTAAGCTTAGAACGCAGACATGGAAACATGGAAGAAGCTGAACATCTGCTTGAAGATGCTGTTAGGAATGCCAAATCAATTAGCGAATCGTCGTTTTATGCCATCAAATTAGCTCGGCACCTCTTCAAAGTACAGAAAAATCTTCCAAAGGCAAGAAAAGTGCTGTCAGAAGCCATAGAAATTGACAAAGTATGTGTTCCCTCTTTGCTGTATTAAAAAAAAAAAAAAAAAAAAAAAAAGATCCTGGTATTTTTCTCTCTTTCTGAACCATTTTTTTAAAAATATGGCAACAATGATGACAGGAATTGTAACTGTATGTAGTGTTTAATTACTACATGGAGACAGCAGTCCCTCTAAACTGATGTTGCCGTATTTGCAGCTTGCGAATCTGGAAGCTTGCAAATTTTTTTGATCAGAAGCACAGTGTACTTCATACCTTCATTTTTCCTTTTTAGAATCTTAAATATTATAGGCGTGTTCACATCTCAAGGTGAACAAAATTGATCGCGTAGGCAGTACTTGTAGATCGTTTTGTATAACCACAGAAACATCTGGCACTCCAAATACTATTAGCTTACTATTAGCAAAGTGTGACATCTGGTTTTGTAGTGTTAGATCACTTCTAATCTATTTGTGAAACAAATCAGGTCAAAGGTGACCGGTGTAAAAAGAAAATCTTTTTATTGACTATTCTAGCATGTATTTATGATGTAAATGTTCTAGCATGCATCCGGTCGACATACATTCAGCGTTAAAAACCTAACATGACCTAAGATGTACAAATTCTAATGCATCTTTTGAACAGGAAAATACGAAACTGTATCTCAACTTACTTGAAATGGAGTACAGTGGTGATCTCAAGCAAAATGAAGAAAACATCTTGAGCTGTTTTGATAAAGCTGTCAATGGCGCATTGTCTATAAAAATGAGGATTACGTTTTCTCAGCGAAAAGTGGAGTTTCTTGAAGATTTTGGTTCTGATGTAAACAAGTAAGATGTAATCTGTGCAATGGCCAAATTAGGGTCACCAAAAGACTGCTTGTAAAAGTTGTAGGGAAGGGGTAGGGTTAGTGGCATCCATTAAATTTTCTTTTGTGGCACCAGTTTTTGAGAAAATGATCCCTTTTTTAATGAAATACCTAATGCCTCATAGAGCAAAATTATGCTGCCCATAACTTCATACTGTAGTTTTCTCTTGCTGAGTCTTGTAAAGGAGGATGTTCCTCAAAGTGAACCTGAAGTGTTTTGTGACACAGGTATAATTTGATACTCCATACCCTGTGAGCTGCTGCTTGAGGTTTCCAAAACCGCATTGATTTGATTTTACTGTGTTCAGAAGTATTAACAATGCTGTACACTTATGTGGGAGGATCAGATACTAGAAGCGCAACTGTTTAATTAAGTACTAGATATACTTTTTTCCTCCTAATTCTCTATTGTAAAAAAAGCTCTTGTTTTTATTTACATTTTGCAGCTAAATAACTTGGAAGGACTAACCATGAGTTAGTTTTTCTGCTCTGTGTGTTTTTTAACAATAGCTGTCCTTAATTTCTGCTGACTCTGACCATTCTAACTTGCGTGGCAGCCAAGCATTGCAAGTTTGGGATCCTAGGTAGACCAAACAAAATGAAGTTTCCAGTTCACAAATAATAGTAGAGCACAGAATAAGTACAAGAAACGGTTTTCACAAAGAGCAATATTGACAGAAGCAGCCGTTTTCATGTGGTACCTTGTAAACTGTGGTATGCAGCAGATGAAATGATATTTAGCTATTCCTGGGAATTTTAGTTAGGACTCTCTTGTGCTGCATTAAATATACCTGTTCTTCTCATGTTGTTTGGGAAAAGGCTGTAAGAAGGCTGTAAGGTGCTACTTTGGAATTGTTATAATTTTGAATGATACTCATTTCCAGTATTTAAAGAAATGTTGATTCCTAAATATCAGTGCTGCTATGGATGGCATCAACACGCAGCTGAGGGAATGCAATCACTGGAAGGAGCAGCTGTATCACTAAAAGTTTTCGAAAACTTCTTTATAAAGAAACTTTATAGAACAAGTGCATGAATTGTGATAAAATTTGAGCAAGTTGGGAATTTCTGAGCTAATAGAAAATTTTTCACTATGCATTGTGGAATCCCCCTTCAAATAAAGTTTTTTGGCTTTCCCATCTTCATGGTGGATCACTGATTAAAATTTGATTATGATTGAGTTTGTTTTAAAACATTTTTGTATTTTTACAGTTTGAAGTAGACATTTTAAAATGGTTGCTCGTGTGTTTAAAATGTTGACGTGAAAATGGTGAGCAAAGCTTTATTTCTTTTTGTCCTCTTCAGGCTTTTGGATGCCTATGATGAACACCAAGCACTTCTGAAGGAGCAGGATTCTTTAAAAAGGAGAGCAGAGAATGGGTAGGAAGTCTGTTCACCTGAGGGTATAAACTAACTTGGTAGATGAGGCACTGTGGGGTAGCTGGAACACGTACTATGCTGAACTATAAAGCACTTTAGAAATGCTTTAAAAATAGTTCAGAGAACAGTCTCAGAGGCTTTTTTTTTTGTTGTTTAATCTATGAATATATATACATATGTTTTTCAGCTTTAAACCTACTGCTTGCAAGAACAAAATCAGTGGTTTTTTCACAACTTAAAGTATATACTAAATAGGGCTATACTGTTGGCTAAAATATTTAGAGATGGATTTATTGCAAAATAACTTTTTGAATTATGTATCACAGAAAAATTAAACAGTACTGGTAAAAATAACTCAGTCTCTAAGCAGAAACATGCTTTTGCTGTCTTAGTTTGAGCACCAGAACAATTTAAAAACCAGACTATTGTTCTGAAGCACAATGTACTACTGTCTTTCTCTAGATCAAATTCTGTTCCCCTGTTTGGACAGGGCAGCAAGTTTGAAAATAGTACTTACCCTTATCCATTATAACGTTTCTTACATGGAGACATGCTCAGAATTTGATCTCAGATACCATTTACCAGCAAATGTTAACTTCACAGATCAGAAGAGCCGGATGAGAAGAAAATGCTCACAGATGACCCAACTTTGGCATCAGCACAGATGATGGATGGAGACATGCAAGTCAATCAGGCAGCGTATAACTACAATGCCTGGTATCAGGTAGGGGTGTGCTTTGGTTCCTTGGTTTAACACGCGCATTCTGAACGTACCCACCTTGTGGTTTTCCCAGTGACGTTTCTCTGTGGTCCAGTGCAGTTCGTGAGGAAAGTTTGGAGTAAAAAGTTAGCTCTTGTTTTTGTTGATTCCTCTTTGGGCTGTTATGCAAGTGTAAAATATTTCTCTCTAGTGTGCAGTTTGGTGGCTAGCTCTTCACGTGGAGGGAAGTGTGACAGCAGTTGAGGATGTTGCTGGCTAAGGGCAGTAGATCTGTTCTGTGCTGAAGTGTTTTACCCAGGAGAGTCGCCTTGGGATGCCAATTTACTGTGCATTTTGATAGTTACTTTCTCCAACTAGTAGTTCCTGTAACGTCTCGGTATGGGTTCTACTGCACTGGTACGTAGTGCATGCAAAACCAGTCTGTTCAATAGCTTGTCTTTCGGGGCTACTCTTGCATGGCATTTCATTTCGTCCCCTGTAGGGGCTTAAAGAGTGAATCGGTAATACCATACCTTGGTTTCCTCTTCAGGCTTGTGGCAGCAGCAACCTCCAGCACATGCTCTGCTTGCTCCTAGACTCATAGTCCGTTTTGTGTTCTGACTTGTCCAAGGGGCGGGCTGTAAAGTCAGAGCTTCAACCCCTGCCTTTATGTACGAGATCAGTACTGGTAAAGGTGGGTACTGCTGGTGCCCCCTCAGCTGGGATGAGAGTTGGTACTGCGGGCTTGGAATGCTTATTCTTCCGAGTTGTGAGTCATAGAGGGTCCAACTGAGGCTTTTGCTGAAGCAGTTTAATGACAACTCTTGCTTAGACTGTAAGGAGCCTACCAAGCTAGTGAGAACAGTGTTTGCAGATGGAACACTAACCAGCTGCTGCGTAACTGTGGTTTAGAATTGCCCGCATCAAGGTCAACTCTTTCCACAGTCAGGCGGTGAAAGGTGTCCCACCCAGCGCGGGGAAACTCTGCTCAGCACTAGGCCAGGAAAAATGCCCCAAGTTTTCAGACACAGAACCGTGGGAATAGCAGGCTTACAGGGTTGATGAAGATCTCAGTCCTGTGATTGACATGGTAACTCCATCACTGTCTGCCCTCTGTGCTTGAGAATAGCAGACAGAAACATTCTGCGAGGGAATGGAGATGTTTGTTCATGCTACCCCAAGAACGTTATGCTGCTGAATACCTACCTAGGCTCAGTTGGGGTAGCAGGGGTACAGCTGGTTGCAGCAAGACCATGGGAGCTGTCTCGGTGATGGTCTCTGCTAGCTGCAAACTGATGGCTTCGAAGGGAGCAGTGTTAGGGCCCTTGGGCTGTCTGCCTTGGCTCTCCCATCTTGTGGGGTGTGCTGCAGTAGTGGACGTGGAGCTAGAACGCAGACAACTTACGCTTCTGTTACCTTCTGCTCCCTCCCATTTTTCCTCCCTCCTATGAGATTCTGTTGAAAGAGAAGTGATGAGGAGCCATAGAGCAGGCACCAGAGGGGCTCTGAGGAGCAAGAGCGAACCTCAGACCTGTCCTGTATTTTGAAGATTTACCACATGCATGTTTATTAAGCGACTAAAAACATTACAGGCAACAGTACCAGCCTCCGCACTGACCCTTGGTACAAAACTGACCCTGGACTTGGAACTGAACTACACTTCAGTTCTAGCTCCATAACCAAGCTGACTTCCAGTGGATCTTTAGGGTGGTTCGGAGTCCGTGAGCCTTGCGCTGCAGAGGAACACCCTCCCTTGTTCCACCCTGCGTACCAGGCTGAGGTACGGGCTGCATCCAAAGCCTCAGTAAAGAGGTACCAAGACCTGAACCTTCTGGGTGTGTCGACACTGGCACAGCCACGCTGGCCACTCTGTTCAGAACTGTTAAAATTACAAAGGGGTGAGCTTCCCCGTGCCCTTCTGGAACGATAGCTAGCTTACCACCAGGTATCCTTTGTGGAGCATGGGCAGTCTGACTTACGTTACTATGTTCGTTTTTTTTTTTTTCCTAGTACAATTACCAGAACGCATGGAACTATGGACAGTATTATCATCCAACTTGATCCGAAGAGTGAGTGAAGTTCACTGTGCTGCCGTTTCAACAAAGATGGAATAAAAAAAAATATATTTTTCTAAATTAGGGATGTGAAAGAACTGTTGTAATACCTGCTTTTTGGTCTCTTGCATGTGAAATGAGCTGATGTTCACAGGGTATGTGTGAAGCAAAATTTGTGTGCTGGTAACTGATAAATGGTATCTCTGTACAATTCTAGTTTACCATAAATGCTTTTTTTTTTTTTAATTCCCTGCACTAATTTATGGAGATATCTGGAGAATTTTTTTCAGTCTCGTAATGATTCCATAGACTTAATCAGCAAAGCTGTAGTTTTTTTGGTTTTTTTTTCCCAAAGCCGTCCTGCTGACCAGTGTTGGCCACCAATGGCTGCTGCAGGAAACGAGCAGGTCGGGACAGCTGCCAGTTCAGGAGCAAGGCTGACGGCTGTCCTCTCCTGTGCTGCTCTCCAACCAAAACGCCACGACCTACTCCATCACGAGATCTTTTCCATGCCCCGGTGAGCAAACCCCAGACTGCTTTGTTTATGTTGTTACAACTGAAACTCTTCAGATTACGATGGCAGCCTTTGCAAGCTGCGACATGTATTTTCTATTCTATGTGGGGGTCAAAAATTAAAATGCAGTGCAAAATGATGTTGCATTCTTTTTTAAAAAGCACAAACTGTGTTTGGGATGATTTTTGTATTTAGAGTTTTTCATGTACACAGTGTGAGCAAACTTTTTTCATTTTGATCAAAGTGATCATTCCCATTTTTGTAATAAAAGCAAGGAATTCAGTAGTCCTCTGAGCTTTCTTGGATTGCCTCATTTGAGCCAGGAGTAAGAATACCAGAGTCTCAGTTCAACACTTGTTTTGTTCGAACTTCTGTGGCTACGGCACAGGAATACGTCGGGAATGTTTGTGGCACGTACCGTTCTCTTCTAGAAGGGGGTGGGCATCATGCCTGACACTTTTGGGTGAGTGCTGTTGTGAAACTCAGCGGCTACAGAGAAGATAAAGCTGAAAGGGAAATGCAGTGCTGCAGACTGGGGCTAGGTATCGAAGTTAATTCAGTTACAGATCACTCAGTAGGGCAAGGGGCAATAAAAACAGTCACAGTAGTTCCAGATGTCTGCTTCTCCTTTAACAGTTTCCTGGAGATCTATGCAATTTCCCCCCCCACAGTGAGAGAAATTTTAAGGTAATCATATACACAAAAAAAGTGGAGTCACGTGCATGTATAAACTATGTTTTCTTTAGTGGTATGTTACTGTACAGCAGTTGGGGAGCAGGGAAAACAAACTTGATTTCAATACAAGGCCACAGTTGTAACTATATCCTGAAGTTACAAGAGCAAAACTGCAGTTGTCAGAAGCTTTCTTGATCATAAATGGATTCCCAGCAGCAAAGGAAACTCTTCATTTCACTCGATATCCACCAATTCCACTTCAAAGAAAAGTTTTGCATTTGGTGGAATCCTGTTTGCACAAGTTAAGGAAGCTTTAAAGAGAAAAAAACAAACCACAAACCAACAAAACAACCCCCCCACAGTTAACATCAGTCAATGTTAAGTGATTCACCACCTGTTGTCCTGTTTCTCGTGTGTCAGTTTTGTATTTCACTGACCTGTTTTAACATCTTGGATTTAGTGTGGAACCACAGCTGCTGTCTAACATGAGTTGTCATGAGACACTGAGTACAGCTCTGTAGATACACCTTTACGCAGACATACTTCTCCGTATTCCCATTCCTCTGAAGGTGAGCAGCTGCGTCCTACCTGAACTGCCTAAGCCTTGTCTCCGTTTTTGGGCTGCAGTCGCTGGTCTTCCTCTGAGAGAGGGTTAGACTGTCCTACTACACTACAGAGGGAAGAATTTCTAGACAGTCCTTTAAAATCATCACGACATAGGATTCGAGCAAGAGAGAACAATCACTTCCCTTCCTCCAGAAGCGCTGGTAAGAAAAGAAACATGACTGCATAAGACACTGCAGGATTCCTCACTCAATCCCACATTTCAGCTGTATCCCAGAACCAGTTCTTCTAGCCAAGATTTAACGGCTGTCCCTACAGCTGCAGCAGGTGACTTTCCTTCCTCCCACCTCCCTACTGGTTAGCATCCCTATCAGTGCTGCAGGAATAAGCATTTGGAAGCGGCTCGAGTAAAAAGCAGGCAGAAAACAATAGCAAGTTTTCCTCTGTCATACTCCCTACAGTTTTTCTTCAAAACAAATGGGCAATTGCATCCATCCATTAAGTTCACTGAATTTTTTTATATTTGTTAACATTCTAAGCCTGCTCTGAGTAACAAGTGAATGCTCCCCCCCATTATATCCCTGTCCATAAAGCACTTCATTCCAAGCATTTCCAAGTTACTTAATGAGGAAGTGACTGTGGAAGGATACTTAGCATCGGGCTGCCCTTTCTTGCCGTATGCCCACTCAGGTTCAATTTCCAGTTGAGCCTTCTCTCCTTTACTCATTGTTAAGAGAGCTTCATCCCACTAAAAAAACCAAAAAAACAAAAAACCCCCCAAAATTAAAGAACCAAAACAAACTCGAACAAACAACAAAAGAATACAGCAATCTTACAGAGCTCAAGAAAAAGTGCATTTTATATGCTTTTCCAATTTGCTCCTGTGAGTACCTGTGCAATACCACATCATTCTCTCCAGCACGCTCACCCACCCAAGCATACGCTGTGTAGTAGTTTCACATTTTTTTTAATTGGTGAAAAGGCTCTCCCTTGTCCGATGTTCCCTGTTCCCACAATAGCCTCTACTGTACTTCGCAGTTCGATTTGTGCTTTTATCTTGTGAAGACATCAGTGAACCAATGGAGTAACACGCTCGTTTCAATGTCGTATCCAGTTTCAGAATGCATTTCACAGCAGACCATCACGCACACAGTACCAAGGGGTTTGTCCCTCTCTGCCTCACATTTCCCTACCGTTCTGCAGCGTCAGTGGATTAGCATTTGTTTAAGCCGATGCTTAATGACTAATTTTACTTTAGTGCTTGTCCCTCTTCAAGGCTGGCTCGCACTGCCCAAAGCTGGCATTCAGCTTAGCACCGTATCAACATTTCACAATGAACAGCTGCAGCTCGTGCCTTGTAACTGCCTAAGGAAGATATCTTGCACCCACACACACAGGAGCGCTACACCAAGAGACTAAAGAGAAACCCAGGCGACGGCTGCTTCTGCAGTGCTGGCCACAAGCCCAGGGCCGTTTCCCCCTTCCCCGCTCTAATCCTGTTGCCCATAAAGGCCTTTTTCCTGCATAGGAAGATTACACTGGGTTGGGTTGCGTTTGTTTTGTTTTTTTAAAGTCAGGTAAGCATAAGACCCTTCCTGCATTCTCACCTTGTGCAGACAGCCACCAATTTCACCATTGGCTCAGCAGCAGCGAGACAGAGTTAAGCACCTCATTTGCTTTGCACAGAAGCGGGTATTTCCCAGACACACCAAGTTCACCCCGCTGTCCCTGACTTCAAGATGTAAGCAAGCAGATGGGCATGCAGAACACTCCATTCTTCTACTGAGTGCTTTTAGTCTACCTAGGTATTTCCCTCACACAGCTTCCACCTCCACGACTGCAGCACTCGGTGCTGGACAGAGCAGAGGAGTTACAGCATCAAAACTGCAACTCATTTCAGTGCATGACAGCAACTAGAATCTGGAGTTTCAGCATCCAGTTCAGGGTTAACGGATGACCTACACATGAAGAGGCACCAAGGCAAATACAAAAAAGATGCTGAGAGAAAACAATCTTCTGACAGACTAAAGCACACCAATCGATGGAGCCTGGGAACCCGATAACCTTGTCTGTTGTGCAAAGCACTAGACAGACAGGCGCAAGAGGCTGTGCTTGTCCTGAGGAACACATCCTTGTTACGCTGTTTTCCACAGACTACTCAACGAGAGGAATGACACTGCAGATGGATGAATGCATCCGTATAGAATAAATATTACATCCTGCGCGTGTAAATGCTTTCAACTTGCCTTTTTACCTCCACAAGAAACAACAACAGCAGCTCAAAATTCGCACCCCAGCCATAAATCCTGCAGAATGAAAACTTTTTGGATTCTGAGGGAGTCGTTAATGGTTTACTTACACCTCTGATTACTTTTCCTACGCCAACTTTGAAACTTAAAGGTTTGGCTGCTTTTTTCTTCTTTGAACCTGAAAGACAGTTTTATGTTCATTTGCTTTAATATCACACCAGCACATACCATACTTAGTATTACGATCATGCTTTATATAAATATCTGTTCTTATATTATTATTTTTAGCCCACTGTCAGATTTTTAGGGGAAAATTTAGTGTGGTGCACTAAAAACATTATTAAATGTTCAAGTTGTTAAAGTTGATGAGCATCTTTCAGATACTGATCCAGTGAACCTCAAAGACTCATTTCTAAATTACTAAAGTTGATGGTACAAGCCATAAACACATCAGTGAAGCAAAAAAAGTCAACAAGGAACGTACACCATCATACAACAAGTACGATGACTCACAAACAGTATTCCAGTGACAGCCCTGCTGTTCCTCTCAGTGTTGGACATCACTGCTGGAAAAGCATTTCTAGTATTGCAGAATTTCATATACCTAAATCCTCTGATCAAAAAACTGTCACAAAAATACCAGCATACTTCTCCGCAGTGGATATGGTACACCAGACTACTTGAAATCACTCTTGTTCCAGTGCCTCCATTTTTAAGGGTTTATTACAGAAGCACACCAAGATGTGTCTATTTAGAGAAGCTAACTCCACTGTCGGTGCTCGAGTTCTATAGATAGGGGAAGCTCCCTGAGCAGGAACTCGCTTTCCTCAGAAGTAGTTTCAGTACTGATTAAATCCCCGCATTTCACATTATCTATGGCCTGGAGAATGCCAAACGTGAGGTCTGCCAAGATGCAGCAGTGTCACTTGACACCAGCCAGTCCTAAAATACTGCCCTGCATTCCCTCATGGAAAATCAGGCTCCAGGAGCGGGCTGCAGGGACACCCCCAGTCAGCCCAACAACACGATGGCAAAAGCAGTTTGTCAGGACTCCACCATGCACACCTTCCAGAAGCAAACGCCCGCCCAAGTCTGCTTAATGAGTCCAGCTAATTTCCTCTATGTGCATTTGCAACAAAAGCGAAACAATATAAATATGACCTTACTTGTTTGAATATTGGTATCGAAGACTGTTCCATCCTGTAGTTTTCCTGTATACCAGCAATGAACAGTGTCCCCTTTCTTCGGAAAGTTGGTTTTATCACCCTTCTTTAAAATTGATTTTGTATACTTTGGCGGCCCC